TAGGAGCTTTTGATAAAAGTATTGTTAAAAAGAATCTATTGTAAAAATATTGTTTTTGATAAGTTAAAAATGTTCGATAAAATTTTTTATAGAGAGACTTACAAAGTGAAAAGTTGTTTGATAAATTTTTTTTAAAGAGATCTTTTAATTCAATGTAATGTTAAAATGATTAAAATAAACAGCTTTACTTTAATCACTACTCCTATTCCATTTTTTTTATATTTTTATATAACTTGATTTTTATAATTAGTTTAAGGTTGATGATTAAAAATTAATTATTCATATTTTCAAACATAAATGCTAGATAAATGCTTATATTTTAATATTAAAAAATAAAATTATATTTTTAATTTAAAATTTTACATTTTAAAAAAAGTACTATAATTATTATATTTTCGAAAAAAAAAATAACTTTTAAACAAATATTTTTCATGAAAAATATTTTTTTAAAGGCAAGTCAATTTATGTGAATCAAATGGATCTTAAAAACAATTTTGGGTTTTGCACGGAATGACAAAAGAACCAAAAGAAAAATAGATAAATAATTTAAGGGTCTATTTAATGCAGTTGAACTTTTTATAGAAGTTTGCTTAGAGAGAATCTATAAAAATTTTACTTCTAAAACATCGGCTTTTGATAAATGGATGTAGGCAGACGGTGGAGCCGAAAAAACATAAATCGATTGTTAGATGGGAGATAAAGGAAAATCTACCAAACGAGCATAGGCCAGTCGTTGTAGAAAGGAGGACGAGCGGAACAGGGGTTAGGGATTTGTTACAATTGAGAGCTTTATAAGCTGGCTTAGGTGTAAACATATTAAGAAATTGATGGGTAAATTGGGAAGTTTATGATATTCCATTAAAAGGACGAGGCTCTCCGCTGAAGCATCAAATTGGTGCTTCTCAGTTTCTTGCCTATAGAAGCTCTAAACTGCATCTATCAGCCTCTTGTGTGATAGGAGCTTTTGATAAAAGTATTGTTAAAAAGAATCTATTGTAAAAATATTGTTTTTGATAAGTTAAAAATGTTCGATAAAATTTTTTATAGAGA